TGTATGCACTTACAAATTTTATTTATTTAATACTTGCTGTGCCCCGCGGTTTATTAGGGACATTTTCCCGCAGTAGAACGTAGCCTATGTGTTAATCCAGGTTGTCAGCTAAGTCCGTACCAAATTTTATTAAAATCGCTCCAGCCATTTAGACGTGAAGAAGTAACAAACATATACTCTCACAAACTTTCGCCTTTATAATATTAGTGTGATGAGTTTTCATAACTGCATATAACAATATGAAATATCATCATCATCATCATCAGCCTATTAATGTCCCCACTGCTGGGGCACAGGCCTTCCCTATGGATGGAATAGGGAGATTGAGCCCATGACCCACCACGCTGGCCCAGTGCAGATTGGTGGGTGCTAACGACAGCAGATGCAGCCGGGACCAACGGCTTAACGTGCCTTCCGAAGCACGGAGGAGCTCGAGATAGTAAATTTTTGGTCACCCATCCAATGACCGACCACTGCGAAAGTTGCTTTACTTCAACGATCGCAGTAGAACGCGCTAGCCACCCGCGCCATCGACATCCTCTCCTGAAATATACTTACATTCGATGAAAAGAATTAAATAAAAAGTCAAACCATGGTTTATACATTTGTTTATTCATCGGAATAATCTTAAGTATCACGATGAGGTCGTCTCACTTAACTTGCTTTAATTTCAATAAATATATTACAACTCTATCGTTAAATTTAAGTACTTACATAGTACGAAAGTACACGTATGAATGCACGTGTAGTCAGGTGGATGTACCGAAGCATTGGGTTCAAGATAAACTCGAGTTTTATGCAAATGGAAACAAGACTTATGCGCTGAATTATTGCTTACATAATTTTAAGGAATTATTTGATGATATATAATTTTGTCCGACTTATGAACTTTAAAATGTAATAGAACGATTTCAATGAAGGATAATTGATGTTACTGTATAACAGCAACAGACATTTTTACTTGGATGATATTCTAGGTACCAGTTCGCGCGTCCTTTTTTCTATAACTTAGTATTATTGGTCTTGTAACATTCCCAATATTTTGTACATCCACCGGAAACCTACACAGAGAATAACCTTTTACATGTACAATAAGTAAATTGAACTATAATAACGCCAGCGTAAGTTACAAAATGCTTTTTTAGATAATAGAAAAACATGAAAAAAAGTGGATTTTGCTACAGAATACTTATAATTTTTATTTTTTAAGCATGTAACTGCTCGATGTTTCTCAATCTAAAGAAAATGTTACTAGAAAAAAAATCTTCGCGGACCAGGCAGCAGACTGGGACTCGAAACATTTGGAAGAAGAAATTGCAATAATAGTTCTATAAATTATAAAATCTATAAATTTTAGAACTATATTAGGGATGATGACTATTTTTTTTTCTTCGTTTATCAGTTAGATTATCAAAAAGTATTGGACACGTATTTTTTCTTTTTTCACATAATATAAACATTGCAGAGATATATTGATCTGAAAGTCGCATGACGTCACGTTTTGGTACAATTTTCACTTAAAAGTGACGTCACGAGCCCCTACTCCCAAATTTTGACGCGCTATAACTTTGTCATTTTTTGGTTGATTGCCCAAAGAAAAAATACGTGTCCATAATTTTTTGATCATCTAACTGTCCGTCCGTAAATAGAATTTCGTTTACTGTACCCCGTCATCACCCCTATTGCTGTTTCTTCTTTCGAATGTATAATTCTTGTAAAGGTATTCATTTGACATTGTCCGTTACCTACAACGCGAAGAGATGGCGCTGCCTTGCAGCTTGATAAAGGCTAGAAAGAATTCGACTCAGCCATCAGCCACGGTAGCATAATGGTCAGTGCATTCGCCCGGATAGCGAAGGGTGCGGGTTCGTTCGAGTCCCGTCTGCTGCCTGGTCCGCGAGGAATTTTTTCTAGTAATATTTTCTAAATAAAATAAATTCAATACTTTTCAAATCTGATTGTTATAACTGTACGAGTGATTGTCACGTTAAAGAGATAAATAAGAGATTATTATGTAGTTTTGTTGGTACTATTATCGTAAACAAACATTTTGCCTTTGACAATGATTCGGTTATGGACGATGCTTCACACAAGGATCTAACTTAGATATATAGCTACTTAATTCAAACATAACATTCTGGGCGTTTTTTCAAGCGTTTAAGTACAATTTGGTTTTAAATAATTCTAAGCATGTCTGTTTTTTTTAACATTTTATATGCTGCTGTTGTGGAGGTTAATACAATCAATGTAATTGAATCGGCGATTGGGTCAGTTATTTTTGAAAAGTTCAGAGTTAAATGATATAAATAGTGGGGCATACAATATTGTCGTTTAAAATATATTAATAAGGATTATCTACACGAAAGTGTATACTGACAGATAGCTAATCACACATTATTATATTCAAGTCTTTAATGGAATGCTTTCGATGACTTTTTCGATTTAACAAATCCTAATTAAAGTAAGTAAATAATTACAAATCTAATATAAACTTTACTTTTTTTTTTAATTTCATCACAAAATATAGAAATATGTATACTTAATTAAAAAAGTGAAGAAATATACACAATAATAATGAATAATAATTATATTTTCGTTGTGATTAATTTTATAGTCATATTTTAGAAGCCTAAATTTTCTAAAACGAACATAAACAAATTTATTAACAGTCAATGTCTATGGGTAATTTGCCTTACATTTAATTAAAATTTAATGCCAATTGTACACAACTAATTAGATTTACAGTTTTTTTCTTACTCTACGGGGCAGAGGGCTGGCAGCCGAATTTTATACAATACTAACACAACGGAGCTACATATAAATACTTAAAGGAAGGTATTGCACGAAAACTGGGGGATTTAAATATTCTTAAAGCTAACAATTTACATAATTACAGCGGCCCTCGGGCCAGGCGTGTGTCCACCATGCTTTTACATTACATTTCCTAGGGTTTTTTTATAATAAAAATAATCATAACAGTATGTAACTTATTGGATACTTACAATTAGGTACTAATAAATTATAGGGTAAAAGTATCGTTACTTTCATATCCTGGGTTATTTCATAGACAAACCAGTCACACACATACTGACATAACAAGTTACCACAAACAGTCGATTTCCGCAATAGATTGTGAATCGTGTGTCAGCAGTATAAAGTTCAAAGTAATTTGGATAAATGTGTCAGTTTTGGGTAACTTTCCTGTGGCTGTCTATAATTTCATTGTAGTGTGGTGGGGGTGGTGACGTCACATAGCTCCTTTTTTATGTTGAAGGGTGGGAATCTATTAATTGGTAAGCCTACGCCAAAGGCTCTTTCTAAAGAGTCATTTCATGCGTGTCAGTCCGTCCATTGTCTAGGTAGATTATGTTAATGCTTTTTCAATCGGTGCAATGGGTTTGACGTTTGTGTCTGTCAGGGAGTAAGTGACGAAGTATATCACATAATTTTTATTGCCTTCCGTCGCTCCTGCTCGTCGTCGAACATCATCAATGGGTATTTTCATATTGGAACCCGGCCCACTTACAATTTGCAGTGGGAAGCGTGGTCAGTGTGGGGTCCCCCATTTTCATATTGGAACCGGGCCCACTTACGATTTGCCCCAGAAAGCGTGGTCAATAGACGCGTTGCTGTGGCCGATAGCACAGTCAGTATATGCGGTGATGCAGAGGAGTTGCATTGCCTCTTTCTAGAAAGTTGTCGATATGCGAGTAGTCGCTTAATGTATTGGTTCATTCAGATAGAATGCATAGGTGTCATTTTCATCTTCAATTTGAGAGATAAGTAGATGATGAAATATGTTACGTAGTTTTCGGGTTTAACATAGCTTTCAGGTAGGTGTGATCAGTAGTTCTTCAGGGTAGGAGGTTGTGAAAACTCGCATTGTCCCGGCAGAGCGGTGAGTAGAGACGATGGTGGGGATGGCACAAGGACGTGGTCTCCTATGCGGTTTTCAGTTAGTTAACATTTTTATGTCCATCCATTTAGATAGGGAAGTAGTGTGACAGCCCACTTTGTTTCGGGTAGTGACTCACGTAGTGTGTGCAGGCGATGATGTGGCAGTATAGGTGCAGACGAAGACGAGTGCTCGGCGTCGTCACCATGAAAACGGCCCTTTCCCTTATCGTAGCGGAATGCTTCGGTGCTAAAACTTAGATTTGGTTCCAGAAGTTGTGAAGCTTCTCGCGTAGTCTTCGGATAGCGCGGTCAGCAGATGCGGTGGTGGGGTGGCGGTAGCAGGGGCTGTAGAGGTGAGGGTTGGCGCTTCGGTGTCATGTTTATCTTCAAGTTGGGTTTTAGGGGGTCAGTCGTGAAGATCTCAATGGGGAGCTAGGTCAGTAGAGGCAGGTAGATGATGAACCGCGTGGTTAGTAGAGGTGGTGATGTGGTGATGCAGTGGAGGTAACTGAGGCGGTACATTGCCGTATTCGTATTCAAATTGAGATAAGTAAGAGATGTGACGTAGTCTTCAGGAAGCTAGGTCTGTAGAGGCAGGAGCGGGGGCTGAAGAGGTGCCGGTGAGGATGTGGACTGCCGTTCGGCGACATGTCTATCTTCAAGTTAGGATGTAAGCTGTGAAGATCTCACGTAGTGTTGGAGGAAGTCAGTAGAGGCAAGTAGGTGGTGGGCCTCGCGGTCAGATGAGACGTAGTCGTCAGACTAGGCCAGGAGAGGCAGTTCGGTGGTCAACTGCGTCGGTCGCTCGCTGTCATGCCTGTCTTCGAGTTAGGATGTAAGTCGGGGAGATCTCACGTCTCCATCGGTAGAGGCAGGTAGGTGGTGAGCTGTGCGGTCAGAAGAGGCGGTGATGCGGTGGCGGTAAAGTATGACTCGCCTTCAAACCGAGATCAGACTAGGTCAGGAGAGGCAATTCGGTGGGGAACTGCGTGGTCAGGTTGCAGACGGTCGCTCGTTGACTTCGAGTTAGGATGTAAGTCTGGAAGATCTCACGTCGTCGGGAAGCGGTGTCAGTAGAGGCAGGTAGGTGGTGGGCCGCGCGGTCAGTAGAGGCGGTGATGCGGCGGTAGCGGGGGCTGCAGAGATGCTGGTAGAGGCGGTGGGAGGGGCGCGGGCGCGGGTGCGGGTGAGGGTGGCGGGGGTCGCTCGGTGCCGACGTCGATGTCGGCGGGTCCCTCCCCCTCCCCTTCTCCCTCCTCTTCGCAGCTCTCCGCGCGCTGCAACCCGCGCACCTGGGAACCGAACAACTACGTCACTTCCTACTGCGCTTTCGATAAGCATTGACATGGTGAAGACGAGTTAAGTATATAACAAAATGAGTGTGCTCGTGACCACACGACTGAGTGAAACTTCTTTAGCTCCATCTGTATGTATATATATATATATAAATATATAATATAAACATATTTCAATTACTAACTTTAAGAGAAAGAGAGAAAGAAAATGTGCGCGCGCACAGCTTTCTCTTGCTTATATCCCCCGCTCAACTCCCGTTCGCCTAGCCCGAAGACACTTTTCGTAACGCGTAAAGCATTCGCCAGCTTATCCCCCTAAGTCAAGGGTTCGTAAAGAAGTTTCACTTCAAAAAGCACTTATTAAAAAAAGCTTATTACGAAGTGTCTGATTATATTACAGACAAAAATGATTGGGTTTGAACTGTTCCAATCGTTCCATCAGGTTTTCTATATTAAATGAATCATGATTGTATTGACGTTGTAACAGCATAATGATTTGTAAATGTTGTTACATTAAACTTTTAATGTTCCGGAGTTTTTTTTGCTCGTTTTTCTCCGCAACTAAAAAATATGTCCAATAACGAGTGATAGGGGAAAAAGAATGTGGATGATTCAAAAGAGTTGTACCATAAGTACATTCAATTGGAATAAAGATATATCGATTTCTGATTTCACCGGTACACATTCCCTAGAGGCCCCAACTACGTTTGGTCGTTAGCCTAGTATTCGGATGCACGAAAGCAATAAGGAAATACGGGCTGGAAGACGGTTTCGTGTAACCGAAACGGAAACTACCCGAATACACGCGTACTCGATTCTGTTCGTTTACAGCGAGAGATCCGAATTCCATTGGCACTCATATTCTGACTGACGACCAAATATAATAGCGTCATAATAAAAGGGAAATATAACTGACAACACGTCTGAGCAATAAATCATCCCGCAGGGAAATATTCAATCAGTGGCGACCCGTTTCGTGACCTGTTGCCTCGCGTTGGAAGTGCAAATAGCTCCATAAACTCTCATCATATCATTTATTTGTCTTTAGCCAATCAATACACAATCCCTCTGCTTCGTCTTGCCTCAGGCGGTTGCCAGAATGCATTTAGTACTAAAAATATAGCGTTAGGCGTCTAGGGGTGTCCAGGTATGCATTCGACAGCAAATGTCGATAATACCTTCGAGTTCTGATCTGATAAAAATGTAAAAAGTGCTAAAGTTTGGCAACTAGTCCCCCCCCCCCCCCTTTAGTTAAGTTCTAAGAGAAGTAGGGCATAGCGGGTTATCCGTTCGAATGGAGCCCTCGTCTGGGGACGTAACCTCCACCTTACAGAAGACCACTGTAAGACAAAACTACCTTTTGGTGTTGCTGTTGGTGAGTACGTTTCCAGGGCGCCACGGGGTAGATTAGGGATTGGGCCGGGATAGGCAACGGCGCAAGGGCTATTTTTGATATAACAAGCGTCTATAGGCTGTGGTGCCCCTAACCATCAGGCGGGCAATATGCTTGTTTGCAACCTTTTCTTTAGCTTTGAAGAGGATGCCAAAAGTTTAAATTAGACGAGTAGTCTCCCAGAAGATATGTACCTGCAGCAACAGATTGCTGGTCAGTAGCCGCTGGTGTTCCTGCGCCTTGGCTCGCAAGCAGGCAATGCTGTTGTTGCGGAAGGCTTCAGGGTCGTCGTACATCTCCCGCGCGCCTTCCGGAGATGCTCGCCCCTTCGCTGACGAAGATGCAGTGGTGCTGCTGCCCGGCGAGCTCTGCGCCTGGAAACCGACGAAATATTGTTATGGTGATGTAAAGTTTTCGGGGTTTTACGGTGTAGGAATTCCCCTTCAAGCTATCGTACACTATACACCGTTCTGACACATCACCTAACTGCAATTGGATGACATTTAAGCTTAACACGGGTGGGGTCAACCCAAATATAGAGACTGCTGAAAAACAATTTATTTTCCTATAAACGGTGTGACATCACACATTATATATTTACTAATTCTGGGGGGGGCAAAGGCAAGCTTAACATCAGGTCAAAATTCAAAAAGAAAAAGAAAATTCAATATCGTTTATTCAGTCTAGGCTGTTATAAGCACTTGTGAATGTCGAAAAGCTACGCCATCGGTTCGCAAATCTACGGCGGGAGACCTTATACTGAGAAGAACCGGCAAGAAACTCAGCAAGGGTTGTTTTTTTCTCCTGTATTATATACAGAGTTGTCAAATTGAAAAATTACTTCAATATGAGGTAACTCATAAAGGGCAGATAGTTGTAACTGATAATACGATACAATCAGCAATGAAGATCACTATGTACACTAGGTAAACAATTAGCAAAAGCGATTGGGTAACAATGGATTTGAACAATTTGTTTCACATTTGACCACGTGATTAGCAAATTAATTATTAATATTTCTCTTTTTGAACTGGATGAACGTAACATCGTGCTCAAATGCTCAGCTGCGTTCATTGTGAGAAACCTACGTCCACCAGTAGAAGAAAATGGTCTGATCAACCCAAAAATCTATAATTGTTTATTCCGTTTAGGCTGTTACAAGCACTCATGAATGTCTAGAAGCGACGCCATCGGTTCTTATATCTATGGCGGAAGACTTTGTACTGAGAAGAACAGAGTCGTCAAGTTGAAAAATGACTTCAATATGATACGCTTGATGACGATGATGGTAACTGACCTGGTTGTCGTGTGGGTCGTGGTGGGGCGGCGAGGCGGAGGTCGCCCGGTCGGGCTCCGCCTCGGACCCCTCGCGCTCTGACCCCGACTCCTTGAGGTGCTGCGCCGCCTCCAACGACTTGCGGTGCATGCCTGGACAGGACAACACAAGCGGTATTATTATTAGCTATCTTCTTACTTTGGTCGGGACAAGGGAATAGCCAAGGTAGGAACACAGGAAAATAAGCCGTGTCAAATATGTGTTTTTCTTATCTATCTATATATATAAAACTCAAAGGTGACTGACTGACATAGTGATCTATCAACGCACAAACCACTGGACGGATCGGGATGAAACTTGACATGCAGGTAGATGTTATGACGTAGGCACCCGCTAAGAAAGGATTTTGATCAATTCTACCCCCAAGGGGATAAAATAGGGAATGAAAGTTTGTATGAAACTTAGTCAATTGAGAACAAAAACTGTAATCTACACTTCTGGGGGCCAATCGCCTAACGGAAATGCTTTGGGAAACGCTAACGCTTACGATTTTATGTTGTTATTTCTAGCCGCCTGAGGTATTCAAATGCCTCGCGCTCTTTCTTTTTCTTTTGCATTGGTAATAACAATATTAAAAAATATGAGCGTTAGCGTTTTCCAAAGCATTTCCGTTAGGCGATTGGCCCCCAGCTCTACACCGAAGCAAAGCGAGGGCGGGCCACTAGTCTTATTATAAAAGACCATCCCTATTTCCCTAGATCACGCCATAGCTTAAGCATGGCTATCTATTTCATCGGGGTTTTTCTAAGTTTTATATTTTACAGAAGCTTCTTACGGAAATAAAATTGCACAAAACTAAAGTTAACAGGGATGAAATTGGGTATAAATTAGATGAAAAATTATATAAAGAGAGGTTAGGGATGATGACAATTTTTTTTCTTCGTTTATCAGGTAGATTATCAAAAAGTATTGGACACGTATTTTTTCTTTTTTCACATAATATAAACATTGCAGAGATATATTGATTTGAAAAGTCGCATGACGTCACGTTTGAGTACACTTATAAAGGAAAATTCACTCAAAAGTGACGTCACGAGCCCCTACTCCCAAACTTTGACGCGCTATAACTTTGTCATTTTTTGGTTGATTGCCCAAAGAAAATATACGTGTCCATTATTTTTCGATCATCTAACTGAGGGACTAAATAGTCATCATGCTTATTGCAGCGCCCGTCTGGGAAAGTAATCTCCACCTTACAGAAGAAGACCACAGGAAATAAAACTACATTTTAGTGGTGTTGTGTTTCTGTCGGTGTGTAAGGTTCCAGGGCTCCCCGGGGTAAGGGATTGGGTCAGGGTAGGCAACGGTGCGAGTGATAATTTTGGTATCGCAAGCGTTTATGGTGGCCGTTTACCATCAGGCGTGCCATACGCTTGTTTGCAACCCTTTTTACACAAAAAAAGTGCCACTTGCCAAATGCTCGTGACTTAACACCTTTACATCAATAGTACGATATGGAAACCCGCGAGCTAACATACTGACTGCAGTACCACCACCACACTACCCCGCCGCACACCGTAAAAAGGTAGTCAATTTTTTTTTTATATGATTAGGTAGGCAAATGACTCTACCCCACCTGATGTTAAGTGGTGATAAAGTCCAAACGCGAAGATAGCTGGTACAGCAGTTATAAACTGCTACACCAACCATCCTCACCTTGCCGGCCTGCAAAAATGCTTCTTCACGCCTCTCTTAAAGGACCCCAGATTATAGGAAGGAGGGAACACGTGCGCGGGCAAAGAAAATAAAGAAGTGATAAAGACAAGAAGAGCACGATGGCGCAAGAGGTTAGCGCGTTTGGCTGCGATCGTTGAATTTAAGCAACTTTCGCAGTGGTCGGTCATTGGATGGGTGACCAAAAATTACTATCTCGAGCTCCTCCCTGCTTCGGAAGGCACGTTAAGCCGTTGGTCCCGGCTGCATCTGCAGTCGTTAGCACCCACCAATCCGCACTGGGCCCGCGTGGTGGGTCATGGCACAATCTCCCTATTCCATCCATAGGGAAGGCCTGTGCCCTAGCAGTGGGGATATAAATAGGCTGATGATGGTGATGAAAGACAAGAAATGATCCATACAAGAACTAGGCTTAAAAAGAAGTGGTCAAATCCAGAAGAGTAGAAAAATACCAATGAAGAACCGGTTCTGAAACCTCAAACCCGACCAAACTTAGGTATCCTTCGTTTAGTAATAAGCGGTAAATTCTTAGCTCCTTGAAATTTAAAACCTCGTCCCTATATAATTGTAGTGAAGTGTGAATCATGTCTTCTATATAATGATAACACTTCCCGAAGCGATTAGGTATCTGAATCTTAATCACGTAGTATTAAGTAGTTTAAAAGCATAGCATTGCAGCTGCATGGACACACACACACACAAACACACATACATACGCGCGCACACACACCCACCCACACTTCATAAAGTTATCAAGATTATATCTATATTTTATTGTATTAAATTTCACAAAACACCGCTGTAGAAACTTTGTTAAAGATAAATAAATAAATAAATAAGATGTAGGATAAGTTAATTGAAGCTTAACTCCACAATAACGCTCATAATTTCTCCCGAGAATCACCCACACCCCCTCACCACACCATAACTCATATCTAACTAAACGAATTAACAATCAGATCCAGTCCATCACGTATGGGAATGTCTTCAGTCATCTCATAAAAGCTGGATTCTAAGGCACCGTGCATACTCGAGCGTCCGTGACTCGTAAACTAGAGCTGGTGTCATAATGAATTTATTGAGGGCACGACGAATATGCAAACTGCAGTCTGTGCATTGTAGAATGTTGCGTGTCCGTCGGCGATGCGACGTGACGAGAGTATGACGATCGCGTGACAGACGACCGCGTGCTTCAGCGTGTCAAATGTGAACGGACTTTATTAAAGAGGTATAGTGAACTCTTTATGACCAAGCTAGTAATGCAATACTGTGATAGTAAAGACATTTGTAATGAAAGATGCTGTGGAATTTTTGAGCGTTCATCACAAATGCATCTACATATTGTGTGGTCATTGTAAAAAAAATTGGAGATTATGAACGCGCTAAAACCAAAAAAAATCTTCAGCGTAATGGTTTTACTTATATGTTGTTAACCAAAATAAAGAATAATCCTTAATCAAAACCGATATGCTTTTAAAATATATTACTATGTACAGGTATCTTAATGGATACTTAGTAAAAGGGGTATTTAAAAAGCTACCTAATAAGCGGGGAAATTCCAATTTTTCAGTACTAATTACTCTTATGGCGCAATTACATTTGGTCGCTATCCCGGATTCGTGTGCACGAAAGACATTACTCGAATTCGGGCACCTGAAGCAATAATAACATTGTTTTCGGGAACTGGAGCACGGGCGTACTTGTCTCTATTCACTTACACTTAAAAGTCGTTTATCCGAATTCTATTGGCACTAGTATTCGAGCTAACGACCAAGTTTAATCGCGCCATTACTCTAAAACCGCCATGTTAAAAACAAGACGACGCAGTACCTGTGTTAGTGTTTAAAGTAAAATTTAAAAAAAATTGGCTCAGAAGCATATGGGCCGCCTGATGGCTACCATAGCCTGTAGACCCTGGAAGAAACCTAATTATTTGGAGCCTGCGGGGGGTTCGCTAGCTAAAAGGAGCGCATGCTCTATTTAGTAGTATTATCATATAGTATTTTCTTGTTATTTCCATTTGACCAAATAATTTTTTTGTGCTGACACATACAATGATTCTTTTGTGAAAACTTTGTTGTGCTGAGTGTGGGAAGCGGGGCGAGATTTACTCCTGACGATGACATTTTTAGAGACGAAAATTTAGCGGCCAAATTGGAATTTCTTGAACTGATGATAACATTTTAAAGTCGGGGTAAAATCTGTTTTCCTAATAGCTTACAGGGGTAGCAGTATTGGAAAGGTTAGGAAACACTGCTGTAGAAGCTTGCGATACAAAAAAAATCCAGGTGAGTAAAGAAGGACTCACCGACACTAACACAACACCACCAAAAGGTACTGTTATTCTACTGTGATCTGTAAGGAGGAGCTCGATGGCGCAGGTGGCTAGCGCGTTCGGCTGCGATCATTGAAGTTAAGCAACTTTCGCAGTGGTCGGTCATTGGATGGGTGACCAAAAATTTACTATCTCGAGCTCCTCCGTGCTTCGGAAGGTACGTTAAGCCGTTGGTCCCGGCTGCATTTGCAGTCGTTAGCACCCACCAATCCGCACTGGGCCCGCGTGGTGGGTCATGGCCCAATCTCCCTATTCCATCCATAGGGAAGGCCTGTGCCCCAGCAGTGGGGACATTAATAGGCTGATGATGATGATGATGATGATGATCTGTAAGGTGAAGGTTACTTCCCCCGACGGGCGCTCCAATTCTAGCGGTAAATCCGCTGTCCCCTACCTCCCTTACACTCACAATACACAAGTATCAGTCGCGCGGTACCTACCCTAACCTTCACCGTAAAGTTTCAGAATCTTACTTAAACAATAAACACGACACCATCAGAAAGTCTTTTTTCATTGTCTCAAGCAGGGATGTAACGGAGGTTTTATCGGAATCGAAGTCGGAGTCGGAGTTTTTAAATTTGATTTATCGGATTCGGAACCGGAGTCGGAGACAGAGTCAAAAGTGGTCAAAAGAGACATTGTTGCATTTAAGAAAAAGTAAAAACATCATTCAGTCAAGCTTTTTTCATTTTAATAAATAAAACAACCCTTTTTCTTTAACATTTACTTATTATTAACATAGACTCCCAACGCGACGGGTATGAACCAATTCGTAACGGTCGACGCAGGCCGCCGTCGCTTTTTGCTATGCTTCCATCTCCGATTAAAACCTCCGATTTAAAAGTTTCGGAACCGAAATCGGAACCGAAGGTGTAATAATAATCGGAAGTTCCGAATCGGAGTCGAAGCTTCGTAACATCCCTGGTCTCAAGTAGAGATGTCAATTCTGATAATCCGATATTGTAACACTATTTTTTTAAAACCGCGTATTTAAAAAAGTGTAAATAATTTTTGTTCATTAAGAATTCAATAAATTTCATTCGTTTTTATTGTATTTCAATCTTGCGGAGAGTTAGTTGTACT